TCTTCACCCAACACTTCTACTCGAAATGGAAGTAATCCCAACAATTATGAACCAAGAGATTCCTCGAAACCCAACTTTTCTTTGTATATAAAGCATCACAACTGCCACTTTGAACAGAGGACTGTGAACAGGGTGCATTATTCCGGGTCGCCATGACAGCAGGACTAGGTTGTACAAAGTGAGGTCGTACAAATTGTATGCAGAAAAAGGCGATTGCGATCGAACTAGACGCCATCTCATCTTGGTCTTCATACCTTCGATTGAAGGCTATTAGCTTCACACAAAGTGTGAATATCAAGATGGTGTAGCCTTTTGTGTCGTTACGGTCTACTTTCGTTTTAGAGCAGTCGTTTGACCTCGTTTGCGCAACTTGGTCGCATTTTCCGGGGGATCTAAATGAGCGCACTTTGTCAGAAGTCCTTTGCCGTAGTTGCCGTGACGATTGCCAGCGTTGGTCCGTGGATTTGATGCATTCTCAGACTTTTCGCCAGCATCTTGGCTGTAGCATCGTCAGTGAGTCCGGCCTTCATAGCATCATACTACAAGTTGTCAAAAATACGGCCTGTATGAAGTAAATTCGAGACTAAATTAGCCAACTAGGATCATCACTTCCAGCACAATGAGGAATGGGATGAGGAAATCAGCGGGCAGTGTGAATAGACCTCACTAAAGGATTCCGCGATCAAAATAGATGCGAAGAAAAGTTGAGCTTCGAGGAAGTTCTTGTTTCAACATTGTTGAGCTTACTTCCATTTCGGGTAAATGTTTTGGGTGAAGAGATTCGAAGGTCGGTTCCACCAGAAGACGACGGCGGATTCCTCTTGACCAGCTGCCGATTGGCTTTACTGAAAGATTCATACTGACACTGTTTCCGAGGCAATCTCATTCGATTCCGGCGAAAAGGTGATAAGCTTTCGTCCGTCACATGACGGACATCATCAGAGAGAGGTAACATCGTCACAACCAAATTCAAGCTAACGAGTCAAAAAAACTCATCGGAATCGAAGGAGATCGCTTCGAAAACAGGGTCATCAT